GTTGTTATTTGTTTATTGTTAAAAAGGTATAAGGTATTGTACACAGATTCGTTCTTTTTTCGGACAATCCGTTAAATGGCATGCAATCAATATCTACATTTAGTTTGCAGTCATGTTGATCTAAGACCAGTGTGAGACATTTCAGGTAAAATCGTCAGCGCTAAAGGCAACTTCCAATGTGAATATTACGGAGACAAGCGGCATCTCACTGACAAAACCAACTTGAGGGAACATCAGCAGAAAAAACCAAACTCAGAAAGACAACGTCTAGAAATCTTTATGGTCAACAAATAGCTGTTCCTTATAGGAGCTCTCTCTATTAATTGGCATATGCTGTTTGCAGCGCAAGCTAGACGGGTAGTAATAATGGTTCTTTAGGTTACTCGTGACAATAGTTCGAAAATTAGGACAAAATTGTCTATCTAGCTTAATCACTTGTTCACTTGTACTTGTTGTAATCTTTCCAGTGCGGAAATACAATAAATCTCAAACTATCGCACTTTTTTCGGACCTCTTGCATTGAGATGTGCATGTAGTGCTACTGTTTCCACAAATAGGTAACGTTACAGAAGTGTAAATTTCTATACTCCTGACTCGCAGGTACGAGTTTCGTACAGTTCCTTATTTATGGAAACAGTACGAAGGGTATGAGTAAGAAACAAAAAATTATATTTTTGAGGCCTGCAGCTACCAGAATACATCGAGTCGAAGGCGACAAACGAGAAACTAGCAGCCGCCAGCGATCAATGCAGCGGTAAATGTGTTTTCATCGCACAATATTTTATACAAGTTGTAGAGAATACACATGAGCTATGCGAAGCCCCGCCCACTGTGGGCGGGCTTCGCATAGGTCAATGTGTGCTTTTTATTTCTTGTCCCATGCCCTACCCATCCCCACCTTGACCCGACCTCTCCAAGTTGTTCTTCAGGTCGAACCGAATTTCCGGACAGACAAACAACAAACAAACAAACAGACGAAGCAAATTATATATAGTGGGTGATCTTCTTGTGGCCTGCGTGTGCTGCGACCAAGTTACTTTTTCAACCCATTGACAACCACTACCGTTCACCTATCCAGCGCCTGCAGGCAGTAATCCACATATTTTGTACCACGACAGGATGTACTCGCACACCTCCCTACCTATCCTTGACCGTTCCGGTTCGAATGCAAGCCAGTCCCAGGCTAATGCGTGGGTGTTCGCAACGAAAGCGTCATTATGGCCCGTAAGGTACTTAGCTGCCTAGAGCTGGACTTTGATCTGCACATGAGGAAGCATACACCACTGCTGAAAAACTACTGGCATCTAATGGCAATAGCCGTTCAACAGTCGTACTTCGAGTACGAAAAGTGGCGAGTTCGTGAAACTCGGCTTGATGAGTTCCCTGTTTCCGACTTTGACGTCATTTGAGGAAAGGGCGGTTCTTTCTTCTCCCCTCTCTCTCTCTCTCTCTCTCTCTCTCTCTCCTCTCTCTCTCTCTCTCTCTCTCCCTCCTTCTTTACAGAGGAAGCACCATATCCTTGGCTTGGACCTCACTTAAAATGAGGTCTCCGCAACAAAATTCACAAGAGGAAGCGAAAGTGGGTCGACAAGGTAGCCCGTTCCACTGCTCAACCTTCACCTTAAAATCGTGTCTTTCTCGCGATGACAGTTCCAATGTGGAAACATTGGAAGGTATTTGAAATAGGCAGACCATTAATGCGCCCTATACCGCACCTCCTCAAGGGTTTCTCTGCTCTTGTCAGTCGGACTCATGACCTTGAACCGACCTAAGCTTTCACGATGACAAAGCCCGATTTTACAGGATAAAAACGACTGTGATTGAGCTAGAGATTTGTGACTGGCTTGTCATCGTCCATTTACTCTAGAGCTCTGCACACAACTCTTCCGACTGATGGGTCTTCCGCCATATTCACCATCGCGGTCATGAGCAAGAGGCTCGAGACAGGAGGCGAGGGTATGAGTTCAATCCAAGTTCACATTCACGTTACACCGTTTCCTCCAGCAGAAGAAAATTGATAGGCTGCTGAGCATTGGCTCCGAGCGATGGATGGTGAGAGCCTCCAATTTTCAACGCGTTTCAGCTGGTTCGTTCCAAAAATAGTCACAAAGGAGCTAAACTTGTGCACCGACTTAAATAATAGGAGCTTTCCCAAACTTACTGGAGATCAGACAAAAATCCAAGCCATAATCGGTGCCACTGACGAAGTCAAACATGTAGTGAACTGGCACAGCCATCTTCCTACAGTCTTGTTCGCTGCGGATGCTAGGGCGTATCAGAGAGGCTGTCAGGCGCCAGCCATTTCTCTCCCATTTGATGGAGTTTAACAAGTGGAGGAGGTGGAGGTTTTGGCACCGCGCCAAATCCAGTCCCCCCTCCCCTGAAGCGCCCCAGGATCCGAAAACGCCACATTTTCCGAATAAGGTTACTCTTTCCAAAGCAGCTAGACCCAGAGACAGGAAGGAAATTATCCTGAACAGCAGAATCCCGACTGCTGTGCAACTTATTTGCACTTAATGAACAATAAATCGATGGAGGCTTTCAAAAGATGGGAAGAACAATAGAAAAGCCACTTGTCTGCTGAAAGCTGACCAAAAAAAGCCAACGGGCTCTAGAAGCTGACAGTAAAATTAGACTCACTCGGAATCCGAACCACTATCCGACATGTAGTCATATTCCCTTCCTTCATCTTCACCATCGGAGGACTCATATTCTAAACACAAATTTTGATTTCCTTTTCCCTTACCTTATCTAGGACTCACTCACTTGCCACTTCGTCACCATTCTCTACCCGTTGGCGTTTATCCTTTTTCGGCTTTTCGTGCACTTTCTTCTTCTTGGAGGTGCCTTCCTTCTTTTTCACTGCTCCATCTTCATCATTCCGATCATCGTCTTCACCATCCGAGTCGTCGGAACTGTAGCCGTCTTTGATTTTCTGAAATCATTACCGCATGATTTAGTAGTTCAGTCAGTAATGATGAAAGTAAGAGATTGCAACGCACTAGAGAGCGGGTCGGCTTCTCCAACTGCTCACCATCTTCTTCTCCTGTTTTTAGCTGACTCAGAATCTGAGCTTTCAATGCAAACTGATTCATAACTTTGTTCCGTCTGGAAAACGGTACTTCAGAACAATTTTCAAGTCATCAAGATTCGAGAGCAGAAGTCCGGTATCGTTAAGAAAGTACGAACGGCAACACCTCCGTCGAAGGGAAAGGTTGCATGCTATCAATGGGAATCTACCAGATCTACAGAAGTACAAGGGAACAAACAAGCTGCCGGGAACAGGCACTGTTGGCGTAAATAGGCCACAAGCGACTAAGAAACAGCAAAAACAATGGAGGGGCATAAAAGGCGTGAGTTGAGCTAGCATCAGAACATATGGAACGATTCATATCAAATGGCCATTTCAAATCACAGGTTATGAACGAATTATTATGGCGCAGTTCAGCGATGCGCGGGGGGGGGAGGAGAAAGGTTGGGCATAGTGCTCGATCGCTGCTTTGAAAGTTCTGGTTTACAAGTCTCACTCTGGTGAAACCTGTAAACACTTGCGAAATTGGAGCAAAGTCGTCGAGCCGGGAGACGGTAAACAGGATTGCAAATGGGAGGCTTCCGTTTGGCGCGATCACATTGCCGTTGACGCGTCATGACAGGTCTACCAAATTGGATATCCCTTCCAGATCATTGAATTATACGGTTTAGTTCTTGACAGCCTTCATGAAAACTGAAGCCGTGTGTGTTGGCTTCAGTGTTCATGGTTTCGAACCAGGTGGTCTCCTAACGATCACATACTGATAGGAAAAATTCACTGTTCTGAAGCTTCGGACGAGTTGCCCTTTCTGAAATACGGTTGGTCTGACGTGTTTTGACACGTCGCTGGCGAAAAGATCGCGCCAAACGACGTACATCCCCGGACTTCATGAAAGTACTTCGAAAGCCTTACAAGTGTTGACAGGGGGTGTATGTCGTTTGGCGCGATTTTTTTGTCGTCTACGCGTCAGAACATGTCAGGCAAACCGACTTCCAGGTGAAACAACTCGCCATAACTTCCAAACTAGTGTATATCCCTAAGTGATCATTAGAAGAAAAATTATTGTTAGAATAGTGAGCACTATAACTAAAAGTGACGGCTTTTGATTGAGTGATGGCTACAAATTACGAAAACTTTATCGTTCAGTATCTTTATCGTTCAACTTGTTCTTTTCCGACAAATCGTCCGGTAGGCATGTATCCGTCAGAACACGTAACTGGCAATGAAATCGCGCCAAACGACCGCCTCCCGTTGACAGGTGGTCTCTACAAACGTTGACGGGTACCACTTCATGGCTCCACAAGATTTACCAGGTCTCCACTTGATGGCTCGACACTTCGATGGGAAGCAGTAAAAGAGCAAAATCCCCGCTTACCACGTCGCCGAATTGGGCCACTA